TATCTACCTGGGGAACTTTATGTCAGTCATCTTGGTGTTTTCTCCAAACTCTGTTTTGAGGAAGTCCTCTAGCGGTGCTGATTCATAGGGTCTTGATCCTTTGAACGCCTGCTCCTTCATCCTAAAGTACAGGCAGCGCAGGTACTCCATGGATTTACCTACACATAGAAGAAGTGTCATTGTTGTTCTGATGCTATGTGATGAAAACCCAGCACTGGAAAAGAGAACACAAACACACCGTGGATTATAGCCAGAGCCAGGATGCCTCCCGTGCTCGTACCAGCTACCCAGTCGAAGAGCTCTCTGGTGGGTCTGCCCGCCTCCTTCTCCAGAGCGATCAGCATCTGGATCAGCACCAGGCCTTTAATACCGCCACCATCAAGACACAGCAGACTGTCCATCCTGTCGGATGACCCAGACCAATATGATGAATTTTATCCAGCCAATCACTTGCATATCCAACTTTTTAGATCCTCTGAAACAGAGCAGAATCCTCGAAACAGAGTTTACTGAAAAAAGTCATGTGACCAGCAAAACCAAACATCACAACACACAGAACAGCAAAATAAAGCAAAGCAAAGTAAATCTGGAGAGAAAGGCCTTAAACGCATGCAGGTCAAAGCCCACAAATGGTAAAGAAATCAAGGAGGGCAGAGGCTTCAGTGCATACTGAACAATGGCATTACTACACTGTGAAACCTATTATTGTGCAGCACAGAACAGCAGAAGTGCTTTGACCCTGGATTCTTTCTAAAAGTGAGCTGTGGGTGTATCAGTTATACACTTTACAATAATATGAATTATTAATATTACATTTGTATTAAAGTGGTTTTAGAAACACTTTCATGGTGAGTTTATGGCCACAGTCACATTGTCAGTGTGTATGTGTGCATGTGTATCTCAAACTGAACACAATATGATCATTTTATAAATGATGGTCCCACTTGTAGTTAAATAGACAGTACAGATAAAGCAGAGTATGATTTAGGATAAAGTATGAGGAATATCACATCCACCTGTTACCGTCACATCCACTTTGAATAAAAGACACATATTTACCTACAGCACATAGTTACTGTGCTGTAGGTAAATATGTGTCTTTTTTACAGCACAGTAACTATACAGAACTATGATAACTGTAGGTAAAGTCACAACGGCCATGTCTGTCTTATATATTCAGTGTTTGCCTACAACCTTCTGTGTGTGCTTTGATTACGGGTAAGTAGTGGCAATAAAGGCGCGTGATGTGTAGTGCGCAATCAGAAATGTTTTACACTCACTTTCTCGTTTCCATTTGGGAGCCGTCTATTTCAGATATGCCTCTGCTCATTGCACCCACTGCAGCCCCCGCATACAAGATGTCCTCAAATCCTAAAAGCCAATCACAACAGCTGTTGGTACAGGAGCAAAACATGACATCACATTTGTGCAAAAACTAAACTAGGAAAAAACGGGGTGACCAGGATTTTGTGGAGGAAGCATGTACTGGTGGTGTCACTACTGTAAAAACCATCACCACACACACTCTGCCACAGTCTGCTGCTTTTGGGAAGCATTGAGGAGCTCATCACACCATGCAGCTCACCTTTTACAGAAACTTTAAATTCTACTTGGTCCTAATTTTTTCACAGCTCATTACCTGCCTTTTAAAAAGATTTAAGAGTAGTCTTTGAAGACTGTTTTTGTATCATTTAACCCCTTAACTGATCCCCTATCATATTTTATACATGTGGTTTTTATGAGTTTTTGAGATTTCTACTTTACAGTCATTTTTATTCTCCCCAAAGAACCTTAAAAAAACATTGTTCATTACATTTTTAAGGATAAAATTGCAAATAACGCACAATGTAACAAATATGATACAATTAAAAATCAACTATTCTAATTTATATATATTTTTAATTTGTCAGAAGGCTCAATAAACACTCCATTTAAAAAAAATTCTGGCAATTATTTTATGGTTCAGGCTTAAAGGGTTAAATGTCATTTTAACTTAAATATGAAGGAACACTTGAACCCAGCTCTTACATTACGTTTACAGCAATTTAGGATTATACTAAATTTGATCATTAAATATATAATACAAAAAGAATGATCTATAGCTAAGAAAAGTAAGGGTAAAAAATTGACTGACAACACAAACTCGAATATTTGAAGTGACAGAAAAATGGAAATGGAGAAGCATGAGGGAGGAGCAGGGGTGATGGGGTGGTGGTGTTACCTATGCCTTGAGGCTTGACCTTCTTGGAGATGGGAGGAGGAGGAGGACTGCCGGGGGAGGGAGGGAGGCAACGCTGTACTCCTACACTACACAGCAAGTCCAGCAGTATCTTTCTATTAGGACCTTTCATGTTAACACACAAACACACACACAGAGCAGCAGCCAACAAGTTAGACGTGCACACACGCCACAAAGAGGAGAGACGGAGAGAGATGAAAGGAAGAGAGAAAGCAAGAACATAAGCAAGCTGTTAGCAATTATCATGCATTTTCAAAATCAGTAAGTCAATACAAACTTAGTTTACTCCCATTTCTGCTTTGTGAATGGTTTCCTGCAGTGTCTCTGTATTTGAAAGCAAACATCCATTAGCTGGTACAATTTAGCCGTGACATGCTCTGAGCTTTTCTAAGAAATCAGAGTGAAATTTAAAATCTTTGTCTTTGTCTCCAGCTTTCTGCCAAAAAAACTGGGT